GAGTTTACGAAGTATGTGTATATATGTGTATATAATTTCGTATATATCTTGATTTTGATTTCAATTTTGAGGGTCACGTGCTAAAACAAGTGACAAATATTGTGTTGTTGTTGTGTGAGAGGGCTCCACAAGCTTGCTTGGGTGCCCCCGTGCCATCCACGTCATAGATCTGTGACTGTTTGCATTCGTTGCAGAGTTCGATCGATCTCTGTTTTTCTCAGATCGATCTGGTAAAGATCGATCTCACTTAAGTCTAGATCGATCCAACTTGAATCGATCTCATATTTTCCAGATCGATCGAACATCACAGATTTGCATTTTCACTTCACACACCATCTTTTGTGTTCTATGCTATCTTATTTATGCCCAATGCCTGTGTTTTCCACATTGGATGTATTCTATACTTATCTTGTTTAGCATGTTTCACTTGATCACTGTTTATTCGGCTGCGTCATCACTTGCATAGATTCATGATTATTATTCTGAGTTGTCTATCTTCTTTGACATACATGTTTCTAAATACTGTGCTTCAATTTTTTATGCCGGTACTAACTTATTCTGCAAGTATTTTTCTTTCTGTTTTGCAGGCCATGGCTAGGGTAAAGACCGTTGCCCATAGACATTATCCACGCCGAGTGAGGCAGCGAGTAGAGGAGCAGGCAAGACCATTTCATGTTCGGGTCCCCATTCCAGAGCCAACTCCAAAGCAGGTTAATGAGGTTGAGCAGTTAGAGGCAGATCCAGCTCAGTCCCCATCGGCTGACTCTAGAGTACAGTCTTCAGCCTCTGCATCATCTTCTATAGCTAAGACTGCGTATATACCTTCTCCCTCACCACTATCGACACAGCCAGGCTAGGACCGCGACAGACTTACCAAGAGATACTCACGCCTTGAGGTGGCGCATGAGCCAGTATTTGACATTGTCTTCTTCTCCCGGTATCTCTTGACTCGGTCTGCCTACAATGATATTGACCGGAGGGGCATTTTAGCTATTTTGGCCCCAGTCACATATCCAGTTTACCCGCGGCTTGTTCAGAGCTGCACGCTACTATTGATGACCACCCCATACGGATCACGATTGATATTATTGCCAGAGCTTCTCGATGCCCGTATGTCTGCCCTCCTGATGTTCATTATCCTCTCTTGGAGTGGAGGCCTTCTAACGCAGACATAGTCGTGGCACTGACTGGCCACTATGCAGATGGCGAGACTTTCGCGCACCTGAACTTATCTGCCCAATGACTTTTGGTTCTATGATTCGGTACTCTTCCGAAACGTATTTATGGCGGGCCATAAGATCCAAAGGCGTTCAGACTTTCTGGTGGCTTTATATTCATTCTATACAGGCCACTGGGTATCCATGCTGGCACTCTATTGGAGTGTCATGATGAGGCTGTATTCGACTTACATCAGCAAGGCTAAGCCCAAGCGAGCCACTTTCATACCATTTGGCCATCTTATTACTCAAATCCTCCGAGATCAGCGCTATCCGTTCCACCCAGATGAGCATCCAGAGATAGGAGCTTGCCACTATGGCAAGAAGGAGTGGAATAAGAGCTACAATGCTGTTATCAAGAGCCTGGTGGAAGACGTTGTTCTAGCAGCTGGAGGATGAGGAGGTGACAGAAGCAGCAGTAGCAGAGCCAGCAGCAAACGATCCAGCAATCGCACCGGCGGTTGCCGTACATATGGATATAGACTTAGAGTAGGAGCCTCCAGCAGATGAGCTACCACATCACTCTCCAGTAGGGTCACCATTACATTTCCAAGAGCAGGCTCAGGATGCACATCATTTTCCTGATCCAATGGTACCTGAGGCTCCAGCACCGATACCCGACTTTGGATAGCGTATCCAGGCCTTGGAGGACGCAGTTGTCTCTCTTTGGTCAGATGTGGCATCTTTCCGCTCCGATATCTTAGCTGCACTGCAGGGCATATCTAGAGATATCAGGGGATCACGCCCCACTCGCCCTACCTCATCTGCCTGATCATTATTCCTCTCTTTTATCATGTTATATATCTGTGATACATTCCTACTATTTTGATACAGTTATGTTATTTTTGCGGCCAGTTTGTCGGCCCTATTACTGTGATGTACCATATACTGTTCTTATTTTCTTATTTTATGCTTGAACTTTTAGATGTCATATTCTTCTATTGATATATCTGTCTGTGACTGACTCCATTATCAGGTGCATCCCAATGACTTTAGTGAGAGAGTACTGCCCGAATTTTTCAAGACCACCCTTTTCCTATCTCTTTAGTTCATTTATTATCCCATTTACACTTTAATGTCCACTGTACACTATTATTATCCCCTTTGTTATCTGATCAGCTTTTCTCTTAGTGCCATCTTTTCAGGACCACAGTTAGTCCCAAGTTTGGGGGGTTATACCACCCACTTTGGATACTTCTGTCCCAACTATTCTTTGTAACAGCCGCACTAGTATATTCTTTCCTTTGTTCTTTTTACACATTGAGGACACTGTGCCATTTAAGTTTGGGGGTAATGGGGTGTTGTTTACAGTATTTGTTTTCAATTCAAAATTTTGAGCATGATTTGTGTATTTGAGGGATTTCTATGATTGATCCATGACTAGTTATAATTTTTTATAAGCGCTGAAAAGTGCGTATTTAAACCCCTTAAGCTTAGGCATTCTAGTACCTTTATCTATCTTACTTTACCGTTTTAGATTGATTTCGTATTATTTCCATTTTCAGGCACTTATCCCGAAAATAAGCTAACTCAACCAAATAAGAGCAGAAATAAAGCAATTCTGGGATAAATCAAAGAAAGGAGCCAAGTGGAAGCAAAAGGAACAAAAATGTGGAAATCAACATTTTTTATCGATCTCAGATCAAGGTTCGATCGATCCAACATGATCGATCTCAGCGCTTCAAGATGGATCAGAGCCATGATGATATTTTCAGAGATCCTAAAAGTTCGATCGATCCAACATCATTCTTCGATCGATTGAACTGCTTTGTCCTTATCCAAATGATTGATCTTATCTAGTTGTATCACCCTACCAACCACTTTTGTCCTTTTCCCAAAAATATCTTCAAAATATCTCAGATTTGTCTTTATCCAAAAAGTGCCACCAGTGAGGATCGATCTAGCCTAAGTTCGATGGATCTCAGCCATGTTCGATCGATCCAAGTCCAAGGTTTGATCGATCGAACTTCCTTCAGTGCGAAAAAGTTAAAATTCCAGCTCATTAAAAGTTGTCCTTTATCCAATCATTGGGGAATATTGTGTGCACAACCTCAACTCATTTTGGGTGTCATTTGACCTACCTATATAAGGATAAGGATTGTTTTTTACATGGGAGGACCTAATACCATATCATAGGACCATATACCATATCATATCATCTCTTGGAGAGCAAGCTTAGAGGAGGAGGAGGCTAGAGACACTATTGGAGAGACTCTTCATCAACCAAGGAGCAAATCTCTACCATGGAGTTAGCCCTTGAGGGTTGGAGAAGCACTACCATGAGTGGCTAGACATCCTCTTAGGACTTGAGTGAGCCCCAAGCATGCTTTCTACATCTTGATTTTGTGTATTATTAAGGGATTAGTGTTGTAATACATGTTTTGACACTTATATATATATATATATATATATATATATATATATATCTTATTTATTCAATGATTTATGTGGTTTAATGCTTCCAATTGATCATTTCATTTTATCCATATGTCTATGTATGCTAGAATAGATGTTCATGTGTTTATCTCTATTTCTTATGTTACTGATGCATGTCTATGTGTATTAATGCTATAGATCTAGAGATTGTCAAAACATAGTGCTTAAAGGAATGCTCTTGTGATTTTCTAGATGGTCCATGCTCATTTCTTGATGAATTATGCCTCTCCCTTAGCTTAAGTAGTTTAATTTCATGTCATTAGCTTAATTGTAATGTAATGGTAGCATAGTTGTTAGATGGGAGGACAATCCATGCTTGTTGTTTGATGTTCCATACTTTTGAATGCAAGTAGCATATGTGTCTAACCTTGTGGTGTATTTGACTTGTGAGCTTAATGAAAGAATTAATGACTTGCTAGATATATTGTGTTTTTCACACACTATTTAGACAATATATACTTAATTACTTGATATATTGTGTTTTTCACATGTTGATTAGACAATGTATGCTTAATTGGTCACCCTTGCTAATTGAATCAACCAAACACATACACACACACACATCAATATTGCAACACACATTTCCCTTATTAGTCACTAGTTAAGGGTGTAGAAAATCATTGCTTGGTGGTGACCTCTAAACCCCAAGATTTCTCTCTCTCTTACTTACTCTTATTGCATTGAATTATTTAGTTTAATTTGCTCTCTAGTTTAATCAACCAACCAACCATTTGTTTGGTCACTCGACCCACTAACCCTAATAGTGATTCCACAACCAAATTTGACTCCAATCCCTTGGGACGATCCTTACTCACCCTAACTATATTTTTAGTGAAGGTAGTAGTGGCTTCTATAAATGTAAAACTTGGCCCTCGCCTTAACACACATTCTTAAGCTTGATGGTGCAAGACGACACGCCACCAATTTTGATCTTTTGAGGACTATATTGCTTAAAATTTAAAAAATTGCTTAACTTGAGGGTCCAATACTCCTTATATGCCTTGTGGATTCCATTTAGGAGTAAATTTTTTAAAAAATTGATATCTTGCTTGCATTTGTGGTCCACATCATCCTGATTTTGTGATTGTTTTGAGATTCACTCTAGGATTCTACACTAGCACAGGTGCACACTAGCAAGGGCGGATCCAGGAATTGACAATGGGGTGGGCTAAAATTAAATATAAATTTAATAACACAATTTCTTAAGCAAATTTTTTTTTTTTTTTCTATAACATAATATATATATATATATATTTGAATTCAAAGATTATAAAATATCTATCTAAGTTGTGCTTGACGAGTCTTTAAAGACTCGAATTCATCGATAATAGACTCCAAATCAATTTTTCAAACAAGGTCCCGTTTAAGATTGACGATCATGCAATCAGCAAGAAATTCATCTCCCATCGTGTTACGCATCACTGTTTTAACACGTTTCATGCCTGAAAATGCTCTTTCTGTAGTTGCTGTAGAAATGGGAAAAGTCAATACAAGACGGATCAATCTGTCAACCAAAGGGTAGCACTCGGACTTCTTTCTTGCAACTAGTTTCCCACATAAATCAGTAAGAGAAGAAGTATTTTGAAACACTGGATCATTAGGTACATCAAGTTGATAATGTATCAACTGAAACTTTAATGATTTAACATCTTGACCAGTGAAGTCCCAAGGATAGAATTTCTCAGCAAGATTGTATATCTTGTTTACGTTAAAACATTCAAAAGAATCACTAGGATCCAAAGCCGAGCTAAGACTAAGAAGTTCCACTACTTCATTGTTGAATCTATGTTCTAACTCCATCAGTTGTAAATCTAGTACAGAGTTGAAAATGTCAAAGTGATAATGGTGCTCAACTGTAATATGATTTTGTTGTTGACAATGACGACCCGTACCCTCTACATAACGAGAACTCAAATTAGGTGTATCAATGTTATGTCGATTGTAAAATGACACCACATTTGCAAGAAAAATATCCCAATCATCTTGTCTAAATTTTTGAAGGATAATTTTGGTTGTTGAGACTAATTTCAAAGCATTTAGAATGTCAAGATAAATATAAATTCAAAGCTTCTTATTGCCTTATAAACACCTAAGGCTTGCCCACGTATCTGTTGAGTTTGCCCATCTTTTTTAAGATTTTCAACAACTATGCAGGATGCAGTATACATATCAATCAAGTCCTTTACAGAATCATAATGTGAGCTCTAACAAGTAACTCCAGCTCGATGCAAGGTGCCAATCTGATTAGCCCCTTTACTAGATTGGCGTTCACCTACGCTCAACATACGTGCAATCTCATCCCTTTAAAAAGATTTTAATTCAGCAAGACACTTGGGAGAGGAAGCAACAAGATTGACAATACAAGTCAAGTGAGAAAAGAATTGCCAAATATTTGGCTCATCTTTTGCTGCTGCAACTAATGCTAGTTGTAATTAATGAGCAAAACAATGGACATAATAAGCAAATGGGCATTTTTTAAGAAATAATGCTTGTACTCCATTCCATTCGCCGCGCATATTACTCGCACCATCGTACCCTTAACCTCTCAAATTTTGAATTGAAAGATCGAACCGAACAAGAATATTAGATATTGCATCCATAAGCGTCACTGCTGATGTGTTTTTAACTCCCACAATGTCAAAAAAGCGTTCAATTAGCAAACCATCATGCTTGATATATCTTAAAACAAGATCCATTTGCTCCGTTTTAGACTCATCTTGTGCTTCATCAACAAGAATACAATATTTGCCTCCCGCAATTTCATCATAAATCATTTTTCTTACTCTGTTTGCAAGAATATGAAGAATCTCTTTTTGAATCGATGGAGCAATGTATTGGGCATTTTGTGGAGCATTGTCTAAGATAACACTTGAGAGTTCATCATTTCCTTCTGCTTTATACTTTAACGCTTGAATAAAATTCCCTCTATTTAATGAACTTGAACTTTCATCATGGCCTCTAAAACCAATTCCTTGCAATGCTAAAAAGCGAACGGTTTCAATAGTTATCTTAAGCCGCATTCGATTCTTCAAAATATCTTCTCTTGATTGGGCATTCAATACTTTATCAATATGTTGTGCCAATTTACTTAAATTTCTATAAAACATGGCACATTTGCTATGTGGTGAAGATTGAAGTCCCATGTGTATCAAGAATACACATTTATCTCCATCATTAACTCTCTTCCAATGTTTAAATCCACCATTAATAAGTGCAAAACGAGTCCCTGTTTTATTTCTCTCTTCAAAGAAAAAGCATGAAAAACAATATGCTTTATCATTTGAAAGAGAATACTCTAGCTAAGGAAATTGTTTGAACCATTCGTACTTAAATCGCCGGTTCTGCTTTCCAGTCCAAGAGCTAAGATAATTAGAAAGTTTAGGTTGATAAGGCCCCAAATTGATATAAGCTCGTCTAACCTCATCCCTTTGATTCATCGGGTATTCATGCATTTGAATACGTAACCTGGGATCTCTTTCAATAGAAGTGGAGTGGAGTTGCTTGGGTTCAACAACTTGAGGTAGGGCAGGAGGTTGCGAATCAAGATCATTGTCAATGTTAGATGCACTAGGTATATCATTTTTCAATTGATAATCGTCACTCATTTGGCCTCTTTTTTGATAGAATGAGAGAATATACATATTTTTCGCTTTCTTGTTTGGTGGTTGATATTGAGCCATTATTATTTTTAATTTAATAAAATTAAAGAATGAGTTAAATTAAAAATACTTGAAAATATATATATTAATTAAAAATGCCTAAATCAAACTAAATTGCATTTTGAATTTTTGTTCATAAAATAAATGACTTAGCTAGCCTGGACAATCATCATTATTCATTAATAAATAACTAAAGAACCAAAATTTTCAAGAATTAAGTCAATTAACACAATGAGTAAGATATACCAGAATCCAGATCGTGAAGGGGTAGATACTATAGATGCCACGGCAAAATTCTTTAGACTCTTGATTTTTTCAATAACATGAATACTTGATCATGTTCAGTGAAGTACTAAAGTAGTGAACTCTTCTCTTCCAAATCTAGGGACCAGGGTAACTGGGTAAATCAAACTAATCAGTACATCACACCATTCATCTGAAAGCATAAGAGTGCATTTTCACAAAAATATATATATATATAAATTTCTAAAATAAGAAGTCCTTAGAAATCATCAAAAACCTAATTTTACCAACTACCAAGTCTGTCAGAATTAGAAAATTAGAAATCAATTCAGTTTTGAGTTCACTAAACTTAATGATGCACTAAAAGCCTTCGAAATCAAGGCTTCAACTCATACCAATGGCGGATATCGGCGGAACGCAGAGGCCAGAGGAGGACGGTAGTGGATATCGGCGGAACGCGAAATGCTATTCTTACAATCTTAGGGCTAGGAACACATTAGTATATCACTAGTTTTTTTAACCAAAAAAACATATCACTAGATCATGGCCTATTTGGCTTCAGCCTATTTGGATTGGGCCTTTATTTTGGACTTGGGCTTGTTGGGGTGGGCTAATACCACTAATAAAAATTTCTTTTTTTTTTGGGTGGGCTAAATTTACCCATAGTAATAAAAAAAAAAATTTTGGGTGGGCTGGGCCCAGCCCAGCCCTACTTTAGATCCGCCAGTGCACACTAGCATTCATTTGTGGGGTACATGCTTTGTCAATTATTGAATTGGTTATATCTCAATTGGGCTAGTAGTGCATTAAAAGCTTTCATTATTGATAAAGGTGGATAATAAACCCTTTTCACTAAGTAGTCGGGATTCTAGCCTCATTAAGCACTGAATTTCTCGCGCCGAAAAGTGGAGGGCCCAAACTCTAGGTTAATAATTGAACTTAAAAAAAAAGAAGTTACAAAAGTAATAAAAAAAAGTGACAACTTTTCCCGAAAGGTGAGAAGTAGGAAATGATTAGATGAAGGTTGTTTTGATTTGTAACCTAGTTGATTTGAGCTTGTAAGTCCTTAGTGGTGTTTGAACACCTAATGCCTTAAAGTCGTCTGGTTTGGGAGTCATTGACCTAACGCTCGACCTCATAAATCGCTAGAAAGTTTAATAGATCACTACATTGCACCATGCTTCCATCTTTGATCCTTAGGGATAGAAAAAAATAAAAAATAAAAAAAATAAGCACACCTAGAACAATAAAACTTTAATAAAAGGTCCACTCTTTGTTTTGATGATCGGTACTAGATTTGTGTGCTAGTTTGAGGGTAAGGATGTGATCATTTCTTTAGTTGGTTAAGATAGCAACATATTTGATGCCGGTCCACTCAAAAAGATTCTAGAGTTGTTTTGATTTGCATGATCATTTTTTTGATGTGTGGAGGACCATACTTGTTTGCTTGATGTTAAAATTTTAGGAGATCACTTGGAAAAGGTTGAAAATTTGCATATTTGAGATAATTTTCTCCCAATGCTTGTTTGCAATATTGGTGCTTCTTTTCAAAGAATGAGCTTAATGTTTGTGGGTATCATTTCTGGAAACCCTCATGAAACTTCACTCGTCCACTAGGGGTAACCTAGGGGTTTAAAAAGCTTGTTGCATGTGTTAAATGCAATCGTGTTCCTTACGAAAGTGGCATTATCCATTTATTGCTTTCTAAGTTCATAGTTGTGTAGTTATTCATTTCATTCCTTTACTTTGTAGTTCATTGCTGGGGATTAGCAATATTTAAGTTTGGGGATGTGATGAGTGCTGAAAAGTGCACGTTTTACCCCCTTAAGCTTAGGTATTGTAAGACCTTTATCTATCTTATTTCCCCGTTTTATTCTAATTTTGTGTTATTGCTCCTTTCTGGTGCTTATCCCAAAAATAAGTCAATTCAGCAAAATAAGAGCATTAAATAAGTTAACTCAAGCTGAATGGAAGAAAGGAGCAAAATGGGAGCAAAATGAAGCGAAGTGTGGAAATTCAGCATGTTCGATCGATCTCAGCATATCTTCGATCGATCGAAAGCTCATCGATCTAAACAATTCAAGATGGATCCAAGCCCTTATCTTTATCCAAAAGAATCCAACAAGTTCGATCGATCCAACATTTCCCAAATCGATCAAAATGACTCGATCTTATCCACACCTGCCACTTTTGTCTTCTTCCTAAAAATATCTCAGAGATTTGTCTTTATTCAAAAAGGCGCCACCAAGGAAGATCGATCTCTGCCGCATTCGATGGATTTCAGCCATGTTCGATCGATCTCAACACAGTTCGATCGATCGAACTTCCTCAAGTTCGAAAAAAAATAGATTCCAACTCATTAAAAGTTGGCTCATGGTGCAATCATTGGAGGGACCTTGGTGTACGAGCCCAGACCATTGGGTGACATTTTGACCTACTTATATAAGGATTGAGATCCATTTTTAGAGAGAGGAGATAGTAGATAGTTGTTATTCATAATTTGTATATTTCATATCTTGGAGAGGAGGCTAGAGATTAGAGAGAGCTTTTACCATATGTTTATGTATGCTAGAATGGATGATTCATATGCTTTTCTCTAGAATTAGTGGAATTTATGCATCTTTATGTGTATGGATGAAGTTAATCTAGATATGGTCAAAACATAGAGCTTAATTGAACACTCTTGCAATTTATTTGATGATTCACACTTGTTTCTTGATGGATTGTACCACAACTTTAGCTTACTTAATTAAATTTCATGTCTTTAGTGTAGATGTAGTGTAGTTGCTTTAAATTCATAGATAGGTGGACAATCTACTCTTGTTCCTTAGTGTTCCATACTTATGAATGCATTTGGTATATGTTTCTAGATAGTTGTGTGTGCATAAATTGTGGTTTCATTGAATGGATTTTGGTCTCATTTGATAGGTTATACTTTCCATTTAATTTGGCTTGATAACCTATGCTTATTTGCCATCCATGCCTAATTTCAATTAATATCACACATATACACACAAGTTACAAGTCAATTTCCCCATTAATATACAATTGCTAGTGTCTAGTGAAGTCAAGCTTAGTGGTGAGCTCTAGTACCCCAAGTCCTCCCCTCTATATCTTTCTCTACTTTATTAATCATTGAATTTTGTTTACTTTAATTTCAATTGCATAATAGTTTAATCAATCAATCTAACCAATCTTTGATCACTCGACCTACTAACCTTATACATTGTTTCCATTGCTAGTGCCTAAAATCCCTTAGGACGATCCCTACTCACCCTAGCTATATTTTTAGTTAGAGGTAGTAGTGGTTTTTACAAATTTAAAACTTGGCCACATTGCACACTCGCACTCTTAGTTCATATCTTTGCAAACTTTGGTGCAACCGATGGCTACACACCAGTATGGTGTGATCGTTCAGAAGTATAGTGTGATCATTCACACGATCGTTCCAACTAGGCAGTTTTCAGCATCAGCCTCCTTTTGCTCCAGCTTCTCACCAAGACTTAGTTTGACTCCAAAAAGGCTTTAATGGACCGAAATTAACCCGTTTTAACCTTATTGATCTAAAAATAGACAAAACATAAATTAGTACTAAAACGAGAAAATAAGATAAAATAAGGTCCTAGAACACTCAAGATTAAGGGGTTTAAATGCGCATTTTTCAGCACTTATTAGGTATGTTAATGACACAGGAAACCGTTGGAACCCCAATTAACTCGCCGTGGTCGGCAAAAACATCAAATTTAGGGGAAAAGGATATGGTGCCGGATTGCTATAGAAAGAACGCGAGCGCATCATCGAAAACTGCAATTGAGCCTTCGAAGCCAATGTTAGCGACGGAACAATATTCTGCGAGTGATGTGGATTTAAAAGACAGAGAGGACACTGGGAAGCGGTGGATCTCACCACCTAAGAGGCGGTGATGCTTTTCTTGCGACCGCGAAGTCCATTCCACCATTGCCCCCTTGTTCTGGGGTTGGCAGGTGTCGTAGTGGAGGTTGTTGTGCAGTTGTTGGTGGTGGTAGTTGATTGGGCTGGTACTTCGATCGGCACAACTATAGAATCACTTACAAAGTTATCGGTTGGGAGGTGGAGGTAGTGTTTCGAAGGAGAAGAGGGGTTTGCCGGTGAGTGGTGTGATACCCCTCGATTATAGAGCCACGGGTGATCAAGTTCGAGCACAGATCCGAGGGATATTAGACAATTAATATGTAAACAAACAAGAGTACAAAAGAATTAAA